GAGTTATTTGCTTTTTTTTGAGCCGCTCTTAATGGCGTTCTCTTATTTGGAAAAAAAGGTGGCCTGATCTTTGGTGACGTCACGCAAAACAACAACAGCTAAGGAAATCGAATAACACAATAATAATAAACAGTTGGCTCACATGTTGTTGCCTTTTTTTGACAGCCAAGTGTATGAATCAGCGAGCATTATTTACATTTGTTTCTCTTGATAAATGATGATCAAATACTTGTTTATTTTCGTTTTCAATTGAATTACCCGAATACGTCACAGGCAAACGCCTCTCACTGTAGAGCATTTTATTTTCTAATTAAAAATAAAATTAGTATGTATTAATACATACATGTATCTATGGCTATTTGCGCATTGTTGTTGCTTGCTTGTAAACAATGTTGTCAACTCATGCGCATGTTTCGAAATACACTTGTCAAAAGAACCAGACCAAAAAAAAAAAATCACGCCATTTTTTCTATTTCTTTACTAACCCATATCTACTGCATACGTGGCGTATGCGTAATTTGCATGTGAATACGTATTTATACACATAATTACAATACTAGAATGAGCATACGTGTGGATTTCCAATTAGGCATGCGATTAGATTTGTATTTTCAATGAGTTTTACTACGTTTTATCGCTAAACTGAGATTGCAAAGGGTCCATAAACATTTTCGTCACATTGAAGGTGTATTATTATATACTTTATTATACTTAGTACATATATTGTTTTAGTTATTGGATAAGATAAGAATTTGTTTTCGTTGATAGTTCTGCTATTATGTGAGCTCACTTGGCTAAAACAAAGCATAGTCATTTATACAAACCCTGAAGAACTGATTCACTCTGGCCCAGAATTTACATATTCCCAAATGTTTCACCCCCAAAAAGTGCAAGAGAGGATATGGGGAGGCAGCCTGAATAAATCAGGGATATGTCAAGTGGAGCATTTAGTAATGCTTAAAATAACCCTTTGCCCGGCTGCGTGAATTTCAATCATTTTCACAGCAAAGTTAACATTAAATTTCTCAATCATTTTTAATGGATTCGGTTTATAAATAAATCTTAATATGCTGACAACAGCTAATTCCACAATACGGGTTAAATCATTTACAACTGTCAAAGTATCTTTCTCAATTGCATTTGGTTGAGAGTTTAAAACATTTATACGCTATACATGGGATGCTAACCAACGTTTTGCCTGCTACTCACCTGGCTAATTGACTTTATGAAATTATTTAGCAAGCTTTGCTGGCTGTGCAACTATGTGCATTCAAGGTAAGGTACTTATATTTTGCGACTTTCGGGCATTATGGTATCTAAGCGCCAGTCTGGGATTCGAACTAGCGACTTCGTTGCTCAGTGGTTCGCTTAGACAATTCTTGTAGGAAGAGCTGAGATTTTTTACTCATTTATTTTTAGTTGCTGACCATTGTGATATGCGGGCATTATAGCATCCAAGTGCTAATGTGAAATTTGAACCAGCGACTTGGTTGACCTTCGGTCATTATAAGGGAAGCGATAGTCTGGGATTCAAACCAATGACTTCCTTGACTAGTGGTTCGCTTGGACAACTCATGTACCAAAAACTGATGATCCCAGCTTATCAATTGTCAGTTAACTAAGTGATGCGCGAAATATAACACAAGGGCTTTCATCGCTTCAAACATAGTCTTTCCCATTTTTCCATAATTAATGCTGATCAGTGGCATATTACAAGTTGCAATTTGAGTACCAAAAACGTTTGTTACGAGGAGCCTAACATTGAATCTTTGAGTTGAGAAGATTTTATTGTTGTTGTTTTGTATATGCTGTCAGTTATGAAAGACAGACTTGTTAAGGTCTGAGTGTGAGTGTGTCTGAATAACAACTGTGGCTGTAATATACAAACAATTGCGGGTTGTTGTTACACTTTTTTGGTTTCATCTGAAAGTTGTTTTTTTTTTTCTCATTTTTTAGTTGGTAACCAGTTTATTTGCTCATAATTATACATAAGGTAAAATACGTTTTGTAATTAAGCCAAAACGGAAATGCATTAAATGCGCCGAGTATATATGTAAATGTATATATATATATATAAATAGCCTGCTCTGCCTGTACAGTCTGAAATTGGTGGGTCACAGCACGTGCACATTTTTGAGCATAATTAGCCAAGTTAATTACAAAAGTCTGGACGAGGACGACAAGTTATCAGGCCAGATTCTATCTGCTCCTGCTCCTGCTCTTTACCCAGTTGAGACATTTTTTATGATGATGCCTGCCCAAAAACTTGTTTAATTTCGATTTTAAAATAAATCAACGCTGTCTCACTCACGCTACCCCTCCGTCCATCCATATACCCCTACACTGTCCAACATGCGTGCAGTTTTCGTTATGGTCTCTGAATCTGTAGCTGACGTTCATTTGGCTGTCATGAAACGTGCCGAGAACTTCGATTGCGTTTGCGATTCCCAATTTGAGAGCTACCAAATTACCAGTTGACAATTTTCAGTTGCCAATTACCAGTTGGACGACAGTTTCAGCTGATGCTGAAAGTGGCCAAAAATGTTTGGCAAACTTTAGCTACAACGAAGAAATGGCTAAATAATCTGCCTTGAGCTGTCATTATTATAAAAATAATTAACAACTAGCATGGAAATTCTTCTACCTTGCAGCCGTTTTAATGCTCTATTTATTTATTTTTATTTCTTTAATTTAAATTAACTATATTACAGGCTCTTTCCAACCAAAAGCATACAAGTTGCTTTATTTAATTATCTTAATTAAAAACAGTTTCCCGTTTGAAATTTTATTGATCGATTCTTGTAGAGTTAACTTTTGACTCAATATTTTTTTATCTATTGGTAGACAAAAAAGATATTTTAGGCATATATTGATTTAGTTCCATTAAAATATTGAAAATCGAAACTGGGCATTGTAAGCATAATGAGTTTGGCTCAAATATATAAATGTTATTTATATTTACTAAGAGTAAATCTTTTAATTACCAATATTGTTCAAATCATTTATAAAGAGGACAAAAAATTTGGTTATTATTCGATTGTTCTCTTAAAATCATAAAACTATTTCATATAAAAACTTAAGTTTTGATTAATAGTTTTCCATATGAAGATCTGATTCGGCATTTAGACAGCTGTGCATGTTTCTCAATATACGTTTTATATATTGTCAATTTTCCGATGAAGCCTTTATATTTTTTCTGAACTCGACAGCCTCGATTTTTATTTAACACATTTCATGCAAAATTAGACTACCTTCAGCCGGGTTGTAGCTCAGCTAACACTTTGACCTATTACCTGTTTCGCATGCTGCCAATTGTCTGAATTGACATTTGGCCAGACCTCAAATACACTTGGCCCGTTTACCCCTTTGTCCGACTATATTTAGGTACGAGTAATTTCTTATATTATGGCCAACTGTCAAGAAACGACGTAAATGCATTTCGATTGCAAATGTGGCATTTTAATTATTGATAAAGTTTGACAGGTCATAAATAACGCAACAATTGGTGGATATTACGAATTTTTGACTATTAGACCCTCAAATTTAACCCAGTGACCGTCTATTGCTAAATCATTTTATTTTAACCTTTTGATCCGTTTTATTATTATAAATATTAAGTTTTTTGCTTTGCGCTTGAAATTCGCTGCGCTGAAAAACTTTTTTGTTTTTGAGGTTAGTTTTTGACAAGTTGAAGTTGAAGGCTGGGGTCTTGCGATTATTAATAATAAAGCGAAATCGCAGCAGTCGATGTTTGGCTGCATTAAGGTTAAGTTGTTCATAAGTTTTTTAACAGATTTCAATAACAGCTGTCAGTTTTTAATAACTATTTGCAGTTTCTTGTGAACCAAGTGATTTCTTAATTGATTTCCTAAAAGTGTATTAGATATAAGACTGTATATCTTTGGTATGCCGAAGCTTAAATACCCTGACAACACATTTATGTATACAATTTAGTGTGCGGATCGAATCGACTCTCGCAATGACAGATTGATAGATAGGTAGATTAAAGTTAAAGTACTGAGTTGTACATAAATACTGGGGCATAAATTGTTTAAAGAATTCAGCTTAAAGCAGCTTATACAGTCCTTAACAATATACATAGCTTTTCGTTTATATGTAAGCTTCTGTACACCGAAGCTAATAATATATTGTTCAGCTTGTACACTTCATATCTGTGTCTTAGATTTCTGGTATTTAATATACTTTACATACTTAAAGTTCCCAACTGATGCATCTGACTCTTAGGCAGCTATAAATCCTTATAAATATTTATACAACTAAACTGGTTCCAATTTCGTGGGTTTGTCTTATACCGTGGCATAACTTTGGCTTTGGTTTTCAACACGTGCACCGCACTTCACTTCGCATTGCCGCTCACACACACCACTGTGCGGTGCGGAGCGAAAGACGCAGAGCAGCAACTCCAAACAAAATAGAAGGCAAACGGAGCAGAAGAAAAAGAAACTGAAACACTTGTTGCTCTCCGCAGCAGCCGAGGTCTATGCTCTCTGCAGCCAGATGCCGGCCGGCAGCAGAAGAAAACGAAGAGGAAGAAACATATAATCGGGGAAACGGCGAAGAGGCAAATTAAGAGAGGCGCACGTAGCGAGCGGCTTAGGAAAGTAAAAGGTAAAAAAATGTGTGACGTTGTGGAATGTGTTCGGGCATGGCTATAACAGGGAATCGCTGACGATATGCAGCGTGAGACGTTAGCGAATGTTTTTCCGAAAAGCGATTCGCCTTAATAAATAAACATTTGGAAATTTGAGGTCTGTTGGTCTGGTGGTCTGATCGAATGGAAATGCGAAACTTAACAACACGCACGCCACACACAGGCAGCGCAGACTTGAAGCTTAAAGCTCGGATTGACGTCAGGCGATGTAAAACAGCTTATTTTCGTAAAAGCGCACTAATATTAATGCAAATATATGCAATAAAACGAGATTTGTGCAGGTTTGAACTTTTTTTAGTGTTAGTAACCTAATGCGGGTGCTACTTACATATATCCAACGGCGTATTCACTTTGCCCGAAACATTCTGGAACTTGAATTCCAAATTGAGGGCTTTACTATTGAAGAAGGACGAGGTACTACTCGCACTTATGCTATTCGCTGCGGCAGGTGCAAAACTTTTAAGCTTATCCAATTGCGGTCCCAGGGTTGTGGTCTTTATTATCTTCTCCAGCAGCGCCGAACCGCTTAGGTTTGAGATAATTATACTTGGACTAGGCGCTGAAGCGGTCACCTGAGCTGCATTCACGGCGGCGGCATTACAAAATTTACTGATGCTCAGGATGCATGTGATAAAGATCAGATGGAACGACGAGGTGAAACTGAAGCTGATCAGCTGCTGCACCCGGCTCTGATAGTTGGAGCTGCTGCTGAAGAAGGCGCTTACTTTGGGCGGTGTTTCGAGAACGTTGTTGTTCTCTATTGTTGTTATTGTTGCTGTTGTTGTTGCTGTTGTATTTGCGTTGGTATTGCTTTTGGCTAGGGGTTCATCCATTTTATGCTTAAACTTTGCGATTTTAAAAATTTGATTTTAAATCGATTTTTCGCTGTAAAATGGAAAGTAATCACTTTTTTTTCTATTTTACTTTGGCCAAAAACACTTTTCGCACGCAATTTTCTCAAAAATTTCTATTCATATTATTCATTATTAAATAATAGCCTGACGACCGCGTCAGCTGTTTTAACGCGAGAAAAAATGCCAACTTTGCCAAAAAAAAATAATAAAAAAGAAATATCATACAGAGAGCCAAACGCCATGATATATTTCGGTGATCGTGAAGACAAGACAAAACAGAAGAGCGTAAAAGAGCAAAAGAAACATGCGGAACAGACTAAAAAAAAATCATACGATATTGCAGAAAGTCAAAATAAAGAAAACATGCAAGAATTCAACGGCAGAGTATGCCGTGCTAAGGCAAACCCTATAAAAGGCGAGTTAAAAATAGGTGAAAAAAGAGTGGAATTAAAAAAAAAAAGTGGGAAATTATAATTTATTATTTATCTTTGTTTAGTAAATGTACAACCTCTAAAAGTGAAAGGCCGCTCAGCCCTTGTTAGTGTAAGGTATAGAAAATATAACAACAAAGAGCTTGCAAAATATAGGGGCGACGGCCCACGATGGTCAGCTCGGTTAGCGCAGGTTTTACAAGGTAAGCCCTAAAAAACAAGAAACTTTGGGTTTGTCACGCTGGTTGGCTTACAGATGAATAGCCCGCACTTATAAGCACGCTGCCAAGTGAATCACAGTTAGTTTGTTTTTGGTTATCTATAAGCGGCTATCAGAGAAATTAGTTCTGGAAATGGCGCTACTACTACTACTTGAACTCAAGTGCCTCTCTTGGTATTGGCCCAACGGGTTGCGTTCATACTGAAGTGAAAATTTAGACGTAAACTGTTCTAATTTTAGAGAAAATTAGAACTAGCTATTTTGGCAAGAGTGAACATTTAAATAATTTTATTTTATTCTTTTTTTTTTTTTTTTTGGCAGTCAGCGGAAAATGCAAAATGCGGCCTCGAACTACACGTGTTCCGTATATATCGGATATGCCATACAGTTATGCGAGGTTCACGCAATTCAGCTAAATAATTTCAGACGTTTGCAATTAACACTTGATTTTGAAATTTAACATTAGGTTATGCGCCGCTCTCTACCTCTATTTTTTTTTTTTTTTTTTTGTTATCGTTGGGCTTACAACAAATATTTTATTATTTATGTTTGCTTTTGGGGGGAGCTCTTTATTTTCCGTACGAAGAATATTATGGGTTTTATAAGCTCTGCGGCTGCGTAACGGTCCGGCAATATTTCCAGTAACAACAATACGACTGCGCCCAACGCACGACGTTTAACGACTGATCTACCAATGCGAGGCCGCAGTCAACGAAGCGTTCCACTGCGTTCGCTTTGCCTTTGGCTTCGGCTATGCCCCCCCTCACACCCATACGCAAACACGACGTTGCGATACACGATCGCCACGCGGCAAAAGTTTTGACATTTGTTCGCATGCATTAACTGTATAAATGAGAGGACGAGAGAGTGAGAAAGAGAGAGAGCGTAAAAGTGTGCCAGCGAGACTAGAAGAGCTAATGTTAAGAGTTGAAAGGTGGTTGTAAATACTCTTTGTAAAATTCTCTTAAGTAACAATTAGCACAAACGTTATTTTGGAGGTGTGCTTGAATTGCATCTGGTCGAACAGTTGTTGGTTGGGTCTAGCAATTACCTATGGCAACCAATTTTCTTTTTGTAATGCTGTTCGCTTAAATTGGTTCTTGGCATAGGTCAGAGACCATGACATGCATATGTTAATTGAATGGCTGATCAAAAATACAAAAAGCAACGTATTGCTACTACTAGAAGCAACTGGAACTTTTTTAAATGAGTCAATGTCAAGATGAGACGAATATTTGCCGTGTTATTTGCCTTACAAATATTTCAGTTTTTTTCTTCCTATGAATAATCTTGGAAGAATATCGAATCTATATCTATAGTTTCTAAAAAATCCCAAAGCACTATTAGCAAGCAATACGGTAAAAGCATTAACATACGAAATTGCAATATTTAACCCTAAGTTCCCAAACGTATTTCGATTCGATATATTATTGCTGGGAAGACTAGGCGCTGTTTTTCGATTTGCATATCACATGAAAATTCGAAAATGCTAAACAACGGCTTGCATATTTACAAATGCGAAAAGCTGTCTGGGAACACACACGAACTGTGTGTTTTTAGAGCTGTAAACCTTGATAACTATGTACTTCATATATAGGTTGAGTATTATGTACGTCAGATAAGTGGCGTTTGTGCTGTAATACTTACTGATATAAAATAAAATTTACCAACGGAATACGATAAAGAGAGGCATCTATCAAATATGTCAAACCGTTATGCTAAATCATTTGAATTATTCTCTTGTTTTTTACTACGCATTTCAAAACCATTTGCTGGAATATCAAAAAGTTTGGCAATTCTAATGGACTCAAAGACTTATACAATTGAAAGCTGTCATATAAGTCTAAAAAGTTTCCAATACGATTTCAAATCGTTCAGCAACATGTCCATCCTTCATTTGAAAATCTGTAAATCAAAAAATTACTTCACAGTTAAAGATTTTTGTAATAAATAAATAATTTTGTTGCTACACATATTTAAATATGTATTTATTCAATCGTCTTGACTTTGAAACATATGTACACTTAACAATAGTATATAATATATATATATTGATAATTATAATAATAAACGATCTGAACTTTAAACAGAAATAAAGTTTCAACTCTTTCTAATTATAAAGATAATATTATTATTTTCTTAAGTTTTCCATTTTCCTCTTTTTTTTAATTAAGTAATGCACACTTAATCTATGTACAGTTTGGAACTATGTGAATTATCTTTAGGGCTTGTTTTAGTTAGTTTAGTTATAGCTTTAGTTTTAGTTAAAGTTTTAAGTTAGAACTCAGCGACGTATTTTGTACAGTATCCTTTAAGGATTCTCTCTCTCTCTTTTTCTTATTTTTTTTTCAAAATGACCCGCTGTTAAAATAATATTAAAATAATTTACACATACGAGTTGCTCAGTCTTTAGGCGTGTCTGCTGCGGGCTTATATTTTGCATCTAAACTTAGACCAGATACAGTAAACCCAAAATCTCTAATACGACGATATGCCTATGACGGGTGAGTACTAGAGAGAATAAAGAAAGAAGAAACATTATGATGTGTTTGGGTTTGTTTGGGTAAAGTTGTATTACCTCCTCATCCATTACGCTGGTGTGATCGTAGATACGTGCAGTTAGATTCTTGCGCAAACTGAAATGATCCTCAGTTGTGGTTTTGCGATATATGGGATTCTCAAAGTTCATGGAATTGATGCGTCGTTTGCTGCAGTAGCGATAGCCAAGGAGCAGGACCTATAGCACGAAAAATAACAGAGAAAAACATTGGTGTTATGATTATAAATATAGTTTCTAGATGTACGGAAAATCAGATATATTCAGCACTGCAGATGGTTATCCATTAAATTGCAAGAATTATGGTATACTTTATTTAAAAACTTACCACCGATAGAAGCACCGCACAACCACTGAGACTGGCTATAACCACGAGCGCTATAAATCCCGAGTCCGGCTGCGGACTGGGCGATGTGGTTTGATCGATGTGTGTTTGGTTCTTCACGGGACGCCGTTCGGCAACTGTGAATTGAAGTGCAAGCCGGATGAGATTAAATATATTTTATATCACATAAAAACAGAAGACAAAATAAAAGAAACACATAGAAATGCGACACACACAAAAAAGAGCAAAACGAAATACAACAATAAAAGGAGCCAAACAAAATGAGCAGAAGAAGAAGAAAAAACAAAAACAAGAAAATGGAAATACAAAATTGTGTAATATACGAGGCAAAGCCCATGCTGTTGTTACCACCCAACCACCCAGAATTTCCCCGGCCAATGCAAAAGAATTTTCAATCAAATCGTTCAAAGTGCTCATTTAGGCGCAAATAAACACTTAAATGCGCTCGCGCCTTTGATGGGTAAACTTTTATACCCAGCCCGGGCGGAAGATCTAAAAGAGAAAGAAAAGCTGAGCGGGGGGCTTGCAAACTGGCAGCTGGAATGACACAGCGGGCAACTTAAATGGCGTAGGAGGATGCGTAATGACATCGTTAACGCGCACGCCGTTTAATGTATTAGGCTTCTGGTACTCACTCACGGATACGCCACACTCCGATTCCAAGTTGAATCCTTAAATCAAGTCAAACAGCAAAAGCTATCAACAATATGTAACTTGAATTCCACTTTAAAGAGGCTAACCGAGCGAGTAACCAGTCAACATCGCACAAATATTAACCTCATACTTGGCGGTTGGCTTGGTTTTAGTGGGTGGTTTGTTTGGTTGGCTTGGCTCGGCTCGGGCGATTGCCTTGTCTCTGATATCAGTTGCAATGTACGCCCATTTGTGCTGCATTCTTGCGGTTTGCCTGTTTGTGTTGCAAGTGTCTCTCGATGGCGCTTATGAAACTGTCATGACTGGCCGGGGGGAGTGAGCTGTGGTTGCCTTTTTGATGATGATTAATGTGAGCCATGACAAAGCAAATGTTATGCCAGAGCGGCAAATGAAGTGCTTGGCTGAAAAATGCCAACTAGCCAATGCAACCTGAGCAACCAGCACCATCAGCAACCCCCCAGAGGAAATGCGGCGCAGAGCTGTCGACTATGTCAGTGCATTGGCTAAAATTGCTTGTGATTAATATCGTTTGCTTTCGGTCTTAGCCTTCACTTTTAACACTAACTAATGGTAGACACATAAATACTTATGATCAAAACGTAATGTTGAGAGAGGTGACAGGGTTTAAAGAGCATCTTCTGGGTAATGAGTAAACTGATTGGAAATGGATTTAATATTCATATTCATATTCATATTCATATTCATATTCATATTCATATTCATATTCATATTCATATTCATATTCATATTCATATTCATATTCATATTTATATTCATATTTATATTCATATTCATATTCATATTCATATTCATATTTATATTCATATTCATATCATATTCATATTCATATTCATATTCATATTCATATTCATATTCATATTCATATTTATATTCATATTTATATTCATATTTATATTCATATTCATATTCATATTTATATTCATATTCATATTCATATTCATATTCATATTCATATTTATATTCATATTCATATTTATATTTATATTCATATTCATATTTATATTCATATTCATATTCATATTCATATTCATATTCATATTCATATTCATATTCATATTCATATTCATATTCATATTTATATTCATATTCATATTCATATTTATATTCATATTCATATTTATATTTATATTCATATGCATATTCATATTCATATTCATATTCATATTCTTGTTCACATACAAATGAACTTTACAATGTCGTTGATAAATTTGACATGGATTCTAATCCAAATGGAATTTATGACAGATAGTATAACAATTATACACATGTACATATATAGACAGACGTAACACACAGAGGCTGACACAACCCACGGAACCATAACATGTTGATAAATAGCGTAAGAAACACAGAGTTGTCAGGCATACCAAGGGCTGCCTGTGTTTGTGGCAAGCTGTTGCCTAATGGCATTGCCTGATTGTTTTCGGTTAGTACATGGATACGCTTATCACTAAGGTTGGGTAGTCGCTGAAGCGTTTTCGTTTTGGTCTTAAATCTGTGAACTCGCGGCGGCTTGGTAATAACTTGAAAGCTGGCTGCACATGCATTTTGTTTAGAAGAGGATTAATATAGGGAAAAAAGGCGTTAGTATAGAGATCATGCAGAATAAAGTAAATGAGAGAAGAATATTTCGAAACTCGAAGATACTCACGATCTTCGACACACATAAGACCATCGGACATGAGCTTAAGGCCCGTTGGGCAGGCGCAGGATATGCGCGGACTGCGCTCATTGATGCGCGGCGCCGGCAGGCAGAGATGTGAGCAGTGCCCATTAACCGCTTGGCAGTGATTAATGCCATCGGGCTGGCGATAAGGATGATACACATGGATGACCATGGGATGTTGGAGCTGTGAATGAATAGAAGAGCGTCAAAATAGAAGGAAGGAATATCCAGGATAATATAAAACTTACCATATGCACAGCCGTAATGGGTTCTACACCCTCCCCAGTAAATTTGTTGGCCTTGAAGACCGTCTGCTTGTCCCAGTCGGTCCAGTAGATGTAATCCTCAAAGGTGCTTATGGAGAACGGATGCCGCAGATACTCCGTCGAGTAAAGGATCTGTCTGCGCTGTGAGCCATCGTAGTTGGCCGAGGAGATGACATTCAGCTTGCCATCCACCCAGTAGATGCGCTTCCTCACCAAATCCAGGGTTATTCCATTGGGCCACTTCACATCGTAGTTGATGATAGTCGTGCGATGGGAACCATCCATGCCGGCGCGTTCAATGCGCGGCGAGGCGCCCCAGTCGGACCAGTACATCCAGCCCTCGATGGGATCGAGCGCTATGGAGCGGGGTATATCGAGCGCATCCTCGATCAAAACCTTGCCCATGTTGCCATCGAAGTTGGTCAGCTCGATGGTGCACTTGTGCGTGTCCGTGTAGTAGACGTGGTTGTAGATCCAGTCGACAGCCAGGCCATCCGAGGTAACCGATGACTGCTTCAGGACGACGGTCTTCTCGTTGCCCTCATCGATCGGTGCTTTGTAGATGCTCTGCGTGGTCACATCGCTCCAAAAGATCATGCCGGTGCGGAACACAAAATCCAAAGCTGTCGCCGACTTGGTATTGTTCACAATAGAAGTCATCTCCATATGATCCAGGGCAATTTTGCGTATGTCATGGCGACGTGCGAGAAGAAGCGAGGCGTGCCCTTCGGTCGCCTTGCAGCGCGTGTGATTGCGCGGATCGCGCATGTAGCCTGCCTTGCACTCACATTTGAAGCCGCCAATTTCGTTGACACAGATCTGGGAGCAGACGCCCGGCTGTTCGCACTCGTTCACATCCACACAGCTGTGCCCATCTTCTGAGAGCTTATAGCCCTCGTGGCAGTCGCAGCTGTAGCCCACCAGATGATCCACACAGCGGTGCATGCAGCCGCCATTCTTGGCGGCGCATTCGTTTTGTCCACACTTGCCCGCCGGCTCATCCTCACCATCGGGGCAATCCTTGCGCTTGTCACACACCTTCAAGAGGGGAATGCACTGACTACCTCCACAGTCAAAGTGGCTGCTGGCATTGCAGCTCTTGGGCGGAGCAGCGAGTTTGCAGTCGCGCTCATCGCTGCCATCCGCACAATCCGCCTGCCCATTGCAAGTGAGATGGCCGGCAATACAGCTGCGGTCGCTGCACTGGAACTGATCCGGCCGGCAGGTGACATTCTTGCAGCTGGAGGCGTGCTCATCGTCGCCATCGGGGCAATCGCGGTCTCCATCGCAGACCCAGCTGTGGTGCAGGCAGGTAATGCGATCCTTGCACTGATACTCATGCGGCAAGCAGGGCGTAACCAGCTTTGTGGAATTTGCACAGGCCTGGGTGAGAGGCCAGAGAGTGCAAGAAAGAGAGAGAGGGAAAGTGTGAGAAAGACGGCATAAAAAGTTTGTCGAGGTTGCTTGTCAGAAGTTTTTTGACTGAAACTTTTCGTTGCATACTTTTAGTTGCTTACACACGAAATTATATGCAGGGGCCCGCAGCCCTTGCCCATGGTTCTGAGCCCCGGCCAAAATGCAATTTTATGCGTACTATGCGTTGACAACAAAAGCTGCCAAAGCTGGCAGCGCTGAGTTATACTCAACTTGGCTGTAATTTATATGCCAGGCGCTTTCCTTTTTGCCTAACTAACACACAGACGGAATAAGTAAGTGTTAGATGCGAGCCAAGAGTGGCCGACTGCTGGATACCCTATACCAAGCTGTGCATCAGATGTTCGTATTAATTAATACACATACAAATAACAAAACTTCATTCTCGAGATTCTGTGGCTCAAAATTCTTAAATGGACTCAGCTGATTCAACTGATTAATAATATTTGGTAATGTACATATATTTATTCCATGCGCTCATTTAAGTTGTGCACAGGTTCCACGTGCACAGGGTAGCAAAAGTTGGCTTAATAAGGGGGACGGGTCTGGAAGCTGCAAACACACACACACACACACACACACACACACACACACACACACCCACACACACACACAAAATTTGAATTTATGAGGCAGGCATTCAGCTGAGAACCCACGCTCACATAGCTCGCGTTGCCTACTTACCCGCTCGTCGGATGCATCCGGACAATCCGGATCGCCATCGCAGACCCAGCGCTTGGCTATGCAGGCGCCATTGGGGCAGGTGTGCTCGGCGACGGCATCGCAGGGGACGACGGGGCAGTCGCGCTCATCGCTGCCATCACCACAGTCGTTGTCGTGATCGCAGACCCAACGTTTCTGGATGCAACGCCCATTGCCGCAGGTGTACTCATCGGAGCGGCATGTTTGGTCTGTGGAACGGAATGCAGGACAAAGGATTAACAGACGCCATAATAAAAAACATTGCACGACAATGGAAAAGCACAAAAATAAAAGAACCGAAAAGAAAAGCGGTATAAATCAAAAAGGAAATGAAGTGTAAGGCGGGGCACTTGATGAATGATGTGACCAGTGAGTTAGCAAAAAGATATAATGGGAATTATGTGGCGACTATATGGACTGAGTGCTTGAGTAATGAAATTTAACGACTTCAACATTCAAAAACTTAATGGGATACCATGAAATTAAATAGTACCAAGAAGAATAGTACTCCAAGAAGAAATAAAGAAAAAGGAAAAAAAATGGATTAGAGCGAAAGAAACCTAAACACTTGAACTAAACTTCAACTCAAAGATAAGAAAAACCAAAAACCAAACTAAATATCATGTCAAAACAAAAAACTCAAGCCGGCGCTACAGAAATCGTTTTTAAAACTTGCTAGGTCGAGAGTCTTAAGAAAACACATTTCGAAAGCTGTGCAATGTGTTCACAAATAATATTTACATTGCCCTCTACTCAGGTGGAAAACAAAAAGTTGTGAAGAGCTTCATGTGTTTGATGTGGATTTTCAACAAAAAAGATAAAATTTAGTGTGAATACTTTGAGCGGACTTATTAACTTAAGATTATACAAAAATGCGGATATTAAAAGCCAGCTAAGGAAGAAAACTTAAAAAGGGTTTTAAATGTTTGAACAAACCGAAAAAAAGCTTATACTGAACTTAAATGTTTTGGAATAATTTTGAAATGATAATATATTTTTAAAAATCTTAAGGACATTTTTACATAAATAAGGGAGTAAATATTTTTGGATTTAAATGTTTATTGTTATTTACTTAATTTATTTTATTTATTTATTTGATTAAATTTTATTTATGTTATATATAATTTTTTATTCTTTTATTTAGGTGATCGCAGCTATTATTTTTAATATTTTATTTCATAAAGTTGGAAAATATTTTAGGGATATGAATTTATTATAAATGGCCCCAGATCAATTTGGCAATTAAAATGATATAAATGTATTGTGTTTCATCGTAAATTAATTAATCAAAAAATTATATATAAGGTGGACCAAAACTTAGCACCCTGTCTCTCTTATTTTTCGCCCCCAGTTTTTCACATTTATTGAATATTTTACAATTAAATAGACACTGGATATTTTGTTTGCTTGTTAGGCCCAATTTCAACGTTAATGAAATAATACCCAATGGAAAATATTTATAATGTAGATGTAGCATTTAGTATTTGAATAAATGATTTAATTGCTTTTCGCTTTTAATAGTATATATATAATTTTAATTATATATGTATATATATATATTATTTTTACATTAATTAAAATTCATTATACCCTGAACCCATTAAAAATGGGTATAAGGGTATATTGTATTTGTGCAACATCCAAATGTATGTAACAGGCAGAAGGAAGCTTCTCCGACCCCATAAAGTATATATATTCTTAATCAGCATCAATAGCCGAGTCGATATAGCCATGTCCGTCTGTCTGTCCGTCCGTCCGTCCGTATGTATGAACGCAAGGATCTCAGAAATAAGAGCTAGAGACTTGAAATTTTAAGTGCTTCTAGGGCCTGCGCAGATCGAGTTTGTTTCCGATAATCTATAACTTACTCCGTTTCCAAGCAATCGATAAAAATCGATATCGATATCCTGTTTTTTGGGCAATTTTGGTTAATAGTAAGAGTTAGAGTCACCAAACTTGATATATAGCTTCTAAAATATATAAAATATGTATATATATATATATATATACATATATATATATATTTGATGTTGGAAGAAGAGGGTTCAGGGTAAATCCTAGTCGGGAGCTCCCGACTAGAACCTCTTACTTGTTTTAATATGCTTACATGCGAATAACTATTGAATTTATTGCTATTACAAAGGAAATGCTCTAAGTAAATACATTTTTTAAATAAAATTCAAATTTGGTCAAAAATTTAAACGCAACTTTCACTACAACTCAATAGTCTAGGAAAATCAATATAATATATCCCGATGAATATGCTTACTGCAGTTGTGCTCATCGGAGCCATCGCTGCAATCCTTGCTCTGATCGCACATCCAGGCAAGAGGAACGCACTCGCCCTCGCCGCTCTTGCAGCTGTACTCATCCGGCGAACAGGTGCGCGCCTCTGTGAATTTTTGATGGAGAGACATAAAAACGGAACGAGAAGCAGAGTTGTTTGAGCCGTGAGTGAGCGTTTGTAACTAGAGGTTAACAAATTTCCAGGGTCGAGAGATTTTTTAATTCATTTAAGTTCAGCGGCTGTCAAATAAGCTGAAAGAGCAGCTGTCCGCCCTCTTATTGCCCCCTCTTTTGTGGTCAAAATGCCGGTACACAATGCACAGACAAGGACAAGGGTTGTTGTTGCTATTATTGTTATTGGTGTTAGTGTGTGTTTGTGTGTGAGGGTGTGTAAATGCGTGTATGAATGCGTGTGTTATGGGTTAAGCACTTTATGCGCTGTTGCCAGGCGTTGCCGACACGGTCAACGCGGCGTATGTGTGTTATTTGTGTGTGTGAGTGCGCATTGTGAGAGTCTGTGTGTGTGGAGGTCATGTGTTTATGGATACACTCGAATGCAACGATGCTCAACGACTTGATTAAGCTGTGTGCGAAGGGGCAGAGGTTTGGTAACATAGTTTTGAAATTATGCGCTACACTTTATTAAATGTTAAGCGAGAGCAGGTTATGCACAGCGGGTGGCAGGGTGGCAGATTGTGGCAGGGTATACATTGTTCTAGTTTCTTACTGCATTGCGCCTCATCGGACTTATCGCGACAGTCGTTGCTGCCATCGCAGAGCCAGTTGCGGGGAATACACTGGTCAACGGTCGTGCATTTGAACTCGTTGTTGGGACATTCATTCCCTATATAATTGTGGGTGCATATAGTATATAATATGTGTATATAATAATAAATAGTATTTAGCTAGTTGAACTTACTGCAGAGCAGCTTGTCCTCATCGGATCCATCGGAGCAGTCGTTCTCCTGATCGCAGCGCCATTTGTTTGGAATGCAATTGCCATTGGTGCAGCGGAAATGGTCCGATGAGCAGGTGGCCTCTGTAAAGAGTATTGGGAAACCAAACATATTAAACCAGCTGTAACTGCAGAGTATTATTTATGTGTGGATGTGTGGCTGTGCAAAGACTGCCTGTGAACTTTGAAGTTGACCCGTATCAACAACAAAAACTGCCAGCATGAAATTGTTTTTATGCTCAGTTGTACTCAAAAGTGTGTGTCTGAGTGTTTGTTTGTGCGTGTGTGTGTGTGTGTGAGGGTGTGATTCTGTTTATTTACACGCACTTGAGCACGTGCTGTGCAAAGAAAAATACCATAGCACAACAAAATATGTGGTTTATATAAAAATAAACATAAATAAATCGTTGCATAGCGGCAGGCGCTGAATTTTCAATGGGTTTTCAATGCTCACTCGTCCCATGAGGGGGGGGGGGGGGGGGTCAACATATGTTGCTTTTTAACAACTTGTTTTTCTATGTTTGATTTGTGCATGTTGGGCCCAACTCAAAGGGACGCAGACTACAAATTTACATTTATGACACTTGTTTAGTTTTCATGGTCAGCTTAAATTAATAAAAATATATTTATACACATATTTTGAATAGAAAAATAGCTACTTTATTTCCATTTACCTCACATTAAGCTCAAAAACCAATTAGAAAAATAAATCAGAAGCCTGAATCAAAATAGCTTGCGACAAATTTGCGAAATTTTTGTTTTTGTTTAGTTAGATTTTATAAAATCCTGAAAATATTTTTTCCTAAGCATTGAATATAAAATTTATGTGTCGACAATTTTGTTTGGATATCATCTTTAAAATTTCTGCTCAAAGAACATTTCTGTCATACAAATATGTCCTGTCACCCCTTTACAAACTTACGCCTCCAGAGCATATTAATTTTAATCAGTTTAGAATGCGGCATCTAGCATAACTGAGGGGACTGCCATATTATGCAGCACAGTCACAAGCTGCCATATCAATAACATTTTATATGATTACTTTTCTAAACTTTTTATGGGCACAACTCGCCGGTCCAATGCTTCAGGGCCTCAGTGCACGCAGTCAAATGAAATGTAGCATGAAAAAAAACAGAAAAGCGCAAAAACTTCTGTTCCACAAGAATGTCTTCCCGAAGAAAAAATAAATGAAATGAATAAAATAAAATATAAAACAGCAGAAACCAATGTGCGCCAATATTTGTTAAAAAATAAAAAGCAAATATAAATACAAGCTCACAACCGTTGAACAATAAAAAATGGTCACATGTGCAAACCAGCAAACACTTTGAAATGCTCTCTTTTATTTAAACCCGCCATAAGGTATTCTGTTTCTGTTATTAAATATGTAACGCCTTAAAGGTTGGTTTTGGTATGAAGGGAAGAGAAGAAGAGGACTCAGACTTAGGCAAAGGACAAAGGAATCCACATCTATATCTATATCTATATATATCTATTAATTTTTATTGTAATGTTTATCTAACATACCCTACAAGTAATTAATTTCTGTCTGTTTGGGCATTTGAACTTCAGCACTTTTAACCACTTTTTCCGTCCTGGTTTTCCTTTTTATACCCTGAACCCATTGAAAATGGGTATAAGGGTATACTGTATTTGTGCAAAATCTAAATGTATGTAACAGGCAGAACAAAGCGTCTCCGACCCCATAAAGTATATTTATTCTTGATCAGCATCAATAGCCGAATCGATCTAGCCATGTCCGTCTGCCTGTTCGTCCGTCCGTCCGTATGTATGAACGCAAGGATCTCAGTATCTATAATAGCTGGAGATTTTAGATGTAGGTGCTCCTAGTGCCCGCGCAGATCGAGTTTGTTTCCGATTATCGGTAACTTACTCCGTTTCCAAGCAATCGATAAAAATCGATATCCTGTTTTTTGGGCCATTTTGGTTAATAATAAGAGCTAGAGTCACCACACTTGACATATAGCTTCTAAAATAGAATATATACATATATGCATTTGATGTTGGAAGAAGAGGGTTCAGGGTATTCCCTAGTCGGGAGCTCCCGACTAGAACCTCTTACTTGTTTTATATATATATTTATGTTGTTTTTGTTTTACTGTATACTATATATCGAATGTTTGCCAATGCCCGCAGCTCCATTCAAAGCGATTTCTTTTTATGTAGCTTGTAAGAACATATCAGTATTTGACATTTTGTTGTTGTTGTTGTTTTTTTTTTTTGCTAATATCTGGCATAGCATGCAAACTAACATAAACAAATATATATACATTAATATATATTTATATGTATATATATAAAGGATGTGCCCCGTGGACAAATTGATGTGCATTTCTCATTTGATTTTTTTTTCATGCTGAGCTTACATTAAATTTAATGCCACATTGGGCAACAATTAAAAATCAAAATAAATTTTTGGGTTCTGGCTTAAAAGGCAGAAAACAAGAAAGAGGATGCGGACAGGCAAAAATTGAAATGTTGCCATTTATTGTATTAATGCATGTTTGAATTGATAAAAGTGTGCAGCAAATTGCCAGACACAGTTCAGCATAATTTGTGCAGTTTTTTTTTTTAACTATTTGTTTTTTAGTTATCTTCTTTTTTTAACTAAGTTTAAACGGCTTTTCAGTTGATTAAAAAACTTTGGCGTTTGGCAGCAGCGGCAACAGCAGCGTCCTTGCAATTTGTATGCAAATGTCAAGCGGCATGTGCAAAATATTCTGTTGCATGCAACGCGGCAGGCAAACAAGCGCCGCAGCCAACTCTATGCAAGTGGACTTTAAGTGTGTGGCAGCGTGCTGTTCTGGTTGCATATGAGTGTACCTTGATTGGGATTTTTGGCATGTTGAATGCCAGCTTAAAGGTGTTGCAACGCTGTGTAAGACAGGCTGTGAATTGCATGCAGCTTGTTGAAAGCTGAATGTGGAATGCCTTAAGTATCACATACTAAGTAGTTGTAAAGTGCCAGAAATTACCACATAATATTGGCAATTATAAAAAATTAAACTCCGAAGAGATACTTTGGGGCGCTTTCAGAATACTAATTAAAACCAGCCTGCAAACTCTTATTTGAAGCGTCTGCTTCAAGAATGTTATACAAAATCGTTTAAAAAGATATCGATATGCTTAATTTAAGATTTAGTAAGAAATAGTAGATTTAGAATTTTAATAAATAAATAAAATAAATATTTTTTAAGAATTTGCAAACTGAGCACCTGAAGAAGTGTACACTGTTTTTTCCCCTTATGATTTTTGAGGAGAATCGAAATATGTTGGAGAAAAATGGGATACATTCTTTTGTTTTCATTCAACATCATATGAAAATATAGGGCCCAAAACCGAAATTCGCATAAAACTAAGAAATAGATCATCAATAGCCATTAACTAGATATATATAATAATATATATATACTTTATTTTATATTTAATGCAAAATAACAAGAAAATTAATTTATGTTTTATCCTTTTTATACCTAGCATATTTGACTAAAAATTGTTTACATAGGAAATAGTTTAGGCACAAGGAATAAAAATATATTTTAGTTATAAAATTGACAAGCGCGCTTTAGGAATTTGTTTATAATTAATAGGTATTTCGGAAAATGCTGTTAATTCCAATTAAATATTTATCCTATTTGTTTTCATACCATGTTCAGTAACCATTGCGCCCAGACTGTGGCTTTGTGTGTGCAGCAAACTGGACATAAATATTAAACACCAAATGTGTCCCATGTTGAATGGAATTGTTTAAAGCGTTTAAAACTGTAAACAAACAATAAGTTACTTTTATTTATGTGCGTATTTTCCTTAATATTTAACACTTAATCACTTTGCTCGGGGTCCTCGAAATGCGTGTAAAGTCAATTTTCAAGCTGTCAACACCATTTTGCGACATTGTGTGGCATATTTGAGGATTCACTCAAGTTGCACAAATTGATTGCATAATTTCCGTTGTGCCACACAAAAATGTGTCGGACGGCGTATAATTTTCAAGTTCATGACGGTCAACAGACAACAAAAAACAACTGTCAAAAGTTGGCCTAATAAATAAATAGTAAGTCCATAGGGGCGCCAGTGTTGGTATGTGACTAGATAAAATATGACTGTCAGGCTCAACATGCGGCAATACTGCGGGAAATTGAGGAAAAGCATTTAATGCTGGCACAACAACTAAATGATAAATGATAAGTGAAAGCGGGCAAACAGACAGAAAGCCTGAATTCTAAATAGCTTCGGCCCACAAAATGACACACAGATGGACATCGCCGATTAGCCTGACAACGGCAAACGACTTTACAGGAAACCTGCCCGCAAAAAAGGACCTCTCAAAAAATTCACAATAAAAAAGAGGAGAAAAAAATAAAAGGCACAAGACACAAATTTCCGTGGCAAGCTTTTTGTGTTGAATTGGACTGGCGCCTGGCATTTTGTCAAAAACACTTTGCATAACTTCAAAGGACTTGCCAGGACTTGGCCAGTTACACAGCATTTCGAGGACATATTAAAATAATTTCGAGCAGGCAATTTATTTATGAGCGCCTGTCAAAACTCTGACACTTGGCACAAAATTTTCATTTTCAGTTTCACTGCAATTTGCCGCTTAATTTTTGCACAGTTTTCTGTTGTTTATTTCTAGTTTGCTCGCCTACAAAATTTTCTTGATAATTTTATTTTGGCTTTTGTTCACTCGACGGGTTTTGCCTTTAATTTTTTCTTCAGCGCGCACCGTCAGTTTGCTTGAAAAGTTCGCCGCCAACTGAGTGGACAGCTGCCTGCTGCCAATCCTTAAGAACATGTGCCAAGAGCTGCTTTGCAGCATCTCTCAAATCTCAGTTGAAGCTTTGACTCGCAAACTGCGACGAGTCGAGCGCAAAACGAGCGCAAAATTCGTCTGAGTTTTATCTCGATTCAACTGAGCTTTGTTGTGAGTGCACAAGTTAGCTGGCAGTGTTAGGCGGGGATGGGAGCAGTGTGTTTGAGTATCTATGATAATATCTTCAGCGCATTTATGCTGAGCTGAGTCCTGATTTGGTAATGATACGTAAGCGATTGAGCTATACGAGCTTAAGGACTTATGCTCATTATAAATACGAAAGTTTCAGCACAGCTGACATAAAATATTTACGATTTTAAGATGGATTTACAGTTAAAAATGTCTATTAGGTAAAAGCTTCAGTTAAATATTTGAAATAAAATACAATATTCAAATTAATAAACAATAATGATATCAATAAAATTATAAAAGCAAATTTTTAAATATAAATATAAAATATATAACCTATTTTAAAATTAAACAAATATTTAAGAATTATACGAAATAAATGTGTAAAAATAAAATTATAAAGTTAAATTTGTATTCACATTAAGAAAGAAATACAGTTAAGAAGTTGAAAATATAATAAAAATATAAAATAATATTTAAGACAAACAAGTTGAAAGCTTCGACTTGTTTAAGGCACTTTAAGGTGCATCTTAGTTGTTTGCCTCCAGCGAAAGTATTTCAATTTCAATTCCCTGCCATTTGTAATGTAGCTTTATGCGCTGTCTTGTGCCCATTTCTTACATTTCTTTATACCCTGCAGTCCTTTTTTTGTTGGTTTTCCTTTCATATTTGCCTTCTGCGCTCATTATGTGGATGCAGCTACGGTTGCAACTCTTTTTTAAGGCAAAGTTGAGCTGCTGGTTTCTTTGTTGGTTGCCTTTGAGGCTCATTATCAATTTCACTGCTTCAGATTTTGCCCTTCGGCAAAGATTGCATAAAAATTAAGTTATGCACAGTTGTAGCAGCAACAACAAGTGCAACTGCATTGTGCGCATTTTCACCCCGCGCTTCTCTCTTCGGCCCCTCGCTTTGCTACTCGCTTTTATTTTCTGTATTTATTATATTATTTATTTTTGGTGGCTGGCACAAATATTGTGAGATAAAATAAAGCAGACGACCTCACATAGTTTCCTTTTATGTCGAACGGCGACGCAAAATGTGTCTCGTGCGACAAATTTGCAGCGTTGATAAAAAATTTTCAGCTGATGCAACAACGTTGCATGCCGCAGTCAGCAAAATTGCGTTGCAATTACAGTTAAGCGCCAATGTTTAGCGACCTAATGAGCGCACTGCCCTGGCACAGTTTTGGTCAGCAGTCCATACCAAATGGCCGACCCACCCCCTCCCCACAGCCCACCAGCACCCCAGCCCCACGAACTGGCACGGCGCAACATAAACTCGTTTCACATTTTGATTGAAATTCGCCAAATGAGCTGCACTCGCTTTGATGGACGTCAGTGTAGCGTACACCACCTAAAAGTATGCAGCGGAAATTTTGTGCCGAACTTACCGCGAAATTTGCACTCCTCGACCTGCTCGTCGCTGTGATCCTTGCAGTCGGCATCCCCGTCGCACACAAATCGTATGGGTATACAGTCGCCGTTTTGGCATTGAAATTGCTTCTCATCGCATTTTGCATAAAGGGATTGAGCTGCCAGGGCGAAAGAAAGTGAGAGGGGGACACAGATAAGTAGTGTAAACAACTGATTAAAGCTAATTACGTTTTTGTTTTTGTTGTGTCTCATTAAAAAACAACGCAAAAATATGAGAAACGATACCGAATCGGGAAAAAAGAATGTGAAACATTATATTCGAATAGCCGAAGAATATATATCCTTGTGAGCATGTTGAACCCTAATGATTCATATATGATATATTAAGAATTAAAAAGGTGATGCTTATATGATAGGCGCTTAGTAATGGATCGGCTCAAGATATCATTATGATTGCCGATGTCGTGTTAGCTTTCTAGGCTGCAAACTTAAAACCAATTTTCTGTGGTTCTGCCTTCGGTTCATGGTTTAAACCAATGCCCCGGCTTCAGGTTCGGTTTCTGAATCTGTGTTTTTTTTTTTTTTTACAAATCTGAGCCCATTCTAAAACCTTGGTTCGATCGATTTTTTAAATAAATTTAAATTCATTTGGATCTATATGGATAATTATTTGAGACGTGTTTTACATTTTTCGCAGAATTAAAGCATCATCGGTAAAAAGTGCAATTCAAAGCTATAAATAAAAACTTAAAGAATACTTAAAGAATACGATCTGGAAAATACCACCCGCAACAATGGTAAATTGTCGGAAAACGTTTGTCTGAAAGTTGTTTATTTACCGTCCGTCCGATCAGTTTCAAAATCGTTTTCAAAGCTTTTTGAGAACATTTTTTTTATAGTGCCACGGGCAAGGCCGGGCTATACCCGCTAGTCAATATATAAAGTTAAATGATAAAAATTAAATATAAATTTAATTTAATTTTTTCAACTAATTTGTGAGTTTAATTTTAATAGTTTTACCATATAATGTTTTTAAAAAAGTAATATTTGGTTTTGGTTAAGGTTTGGCTCTGATTTTGTCAATCAAGTTTATTTAGGTTTCGGTTCCCAGTATATAAATTTATTAAATGGGGATTTGATTCCAAGCCCAAAAAAACACGAATCTAAGTTTCATCAAGATAGAATACAGACTGAAAACTAGTTTGCATAAAAAGCAGAGAATCGAAAATTTAAAGCGAATCGGCTCTTAATGCTATACAGATACATACTGATATAGATATATTTATATAATATTTATATAAATATATATATATATATATATATTATTTTTTTGTTTGTCTCCTAAATATCTTCTTCAATGCATAATACCATTTGCAAGAGCATAAAAAAGAGTATAAAAAAAGTGTAAAACGAAACCGAATTGCAAAAAAACAGACCAGACAATGTGTCTGTTTGGGAGGTGGCGCAAGAGCCCAAATTGATTAGGGCTTAAAACTTCAAAACAATCAAGAGCAGACGCAGGTTCTGCCGCACTCACATACGAGCTGCTTGAAAACATTTGCGTACACACACACACACTTTGCGTGTGTGTTGTATCTCACAGTTATGGGCTTTTTAATCAACAAGAATGGCAGCAACAACAGCAACAAAATGTCGCAAAACTTTGCAGCTTGACAATTTTCCATCTTTGCCTACAAGTTGCGGGCAGCCGCTGCTTGAGGTGCCACACACACGCACACACACACACACACACATATATATATATATATATATATATATTATAATATATCTATATATATATATTGATACACTCACACATATATAGATATTATAATAAAAATAAAATAGCGGCCGGAATATGTCAACAGCTCTTGATGTATAATAGAAAATGTGACAAGCGCAAAAAAGTTATGGATTGCCAATGTCCTGTGTAAACACAGACACACACATTCACACACACTCACACCCGCACACACACGCATATACCCTACGGCGGCTGCCCATTCACGTTGATAAGGGTTTTTTTTGGTGACCCGCGCCTGTCGTTGACAGCTGTTTTTTCTCCATCTCCTCCTCTGCCCAGAAACAATAATAATTGTTCGTTTAATCAAAACTTATGCATAAATATTTTTAACAAGCGCATTTTGTTCTTGTTATTGTCATTGCAATTTCAATTACAAAAACAAGCGGATTTCACCAAATGCCATCAATCAATAAGGTCAAATCAATTGCAGCGTCGAGAATTGTTTTCAATTATGAATGACGCAAAATAAACAAAGCAAATGATATCCTTATCATATATGTATATATGTTGCATATATATACAATATATTTATAATATAGAGAAGGCGAAAATTTATCCACACTCTGGCTATTGTTGGTATTATAATTATGTCAAATATTGTTATACTCTACCGAAAAGACATATGCAGATGAGATTTAAATGTAATTATTTAAATATTTAAAGGATGAACAATTGGTAAATTAAATGATATTTTAATATCGTGTTTCAGATAGCATTTAACATTTTTTATCTTTATATGCGCTGGGCCTTCACTAACCTAAAAAGAGAGAGCTAGAAGTTTGCCTTGCAGAGATTGAGATAGAACAAGTAAGAGGTTCTAGTCGGGAGCTCCCGACTAGGGAATACCCTTAGCCCTCTTATTCCAACACGAAATAAATTTAAAAAAAAAGTTCCCCTGACAGGGTTCGAGCTCGCAACTTCCCGCATTACTTGCTGTCGACTCCACTCATCAGCCACGCCAGCCAAAAAAAAAAAAAATACTTCACCCCCTGTAGGGATCGAACTCGCGCCACACCGCACCACTTGTTATGCCTCTACTCAGCAGCCATCCCAATATTTAAGTAGTTTAAAGAAAAAAAAACAAGCTTAAATAGTATTAGAGAAAAAAGTCGCAATTACCATGCTGTTAGAACGCGAAGCAGACGCGCATGAATGTGTGTGTGTACATGTATACAGAAATCCTTAAAGCTGCTGCCCCATTCAATTGCGCAGTTGCATATAACTTTGGTTTTTCTTAACCGATCTTTATGAAATTTTCTAAAGTATATCTTATTGTACCATAGAATATTTGTGTATTCTGAAAAAGTCAATTGCTTGTAAATTGGGGCTTAAATTGGTTTGCAATAAAAGTTGGGTTATTAACTTGATTTATAGCTCTGGGGTGGTAGCGGGGAGGTGGCGATAGGTATGAAATGAAAGATACTTGAAATATTTATAATATTCTAGAAGTAACATATCATGTTTGGTGACTCTAGCTCTTATTATTTACCCAATTCGCCCAAAAAACAGGATGTCGATATCAATTTTTATCGATTGCTTGGAAACGGAGTAAGTTATCGATTATCGGAACCAGCTCAATCTGCGCAGGCACTAGGAGCACCTACATCTAAAATTTCAAGTCTCTAGCTCTTATAGGTTCTGAGATCCTTGCGTTCATACATACGGACGGACGGACGGACAGACAGACGGACATGGCTAGATCGCCTCGAGTATATATACTTTATGGGTTCGGAGATGCTTCCTTCTGCCTGTTACATACATTTGCAGTTTGCACAAATACAATATACCCTTACACCCATTTTCAATGGGTTCAAGGAAAGAGAGAAAGAGAAACTTGCGGAAAAGAGAGCAGGGGAGGGAAAGGTATACAGAGAGGGAGAAAAAGACACGAGATATGGAAGGAGAAAGAAAGAGAGACAGAGAGAGAGAAAAGAGAGAAGATAGAGATAAATAGATATATAGAGAGAGAAATATGCGAGGGAGAGATAGAGAGAGAGAAAGAGATACACAGATGGAAGGGAAGAGATAACTGAGAAGGCACTGTCTCTTTACGTACGAAAGATAACCTTAAAGGAGAGATACAGAAAAAAAGAAAAGAGATAGAAAATAAGAAAGAGAGAGAGAAGTATAGAAAGGGAGAAACTGAGAAAGTGAGTGCGACAGAGATAGAGAGAAGGGAGAGAGATATGGTGGTTTAAGGAAAGCAATTAAATATATTAATAATATTAATTATAATAATAATAATAATAATAATAATAATAATAATAATAATAATAATAATAATAATAATAATAATAATAATAATAATAATAATGAAAAAAAAATTTTAGCTTAAAATATTAATAAAACTAATAAAAATATGTTTAAATAATTTAATATTAACTCATAATAATAATGGATATAAGTCAAAGAGCTGAAATAAGGAAATTTGGCAGATTAATTTATTAGCACCTGCTTTGTACTAAAACATTAAAGCGTTTGTCCTAGAACAGGCCTAATTCTTAATTATTCCACAATTCAGAACAACTTTGTGTGTGCATTTCTCTCACATGCAACAAAAATAAATAAATAAATAAATACAACAATTCGATCGAGCCCACGATTTGTTTGTTCATAATTAACCTTGGCAAAGCTATAACATTCTGAATCTCTATATCAATTCGAGTATGCAACTATTGTAATTAATAAACTTAATTATATCAAAATTTAAAAACTGTGAGGCTCACTGAAATTGATAGTTGCTAATTTTGTGCTATCTTGATTTTAGTTTTTGTTATTTTAAATTAAATTATTCAAATTGGGTTAGGGTTCAGTTTTTCCTGAATAATCTAGAATCTAAACCATTTCAAAAGCTCAGCAACGTGAACAAAAATCGGGTTAAATATAACTAGAATGTTTAATAAAAAAAAAGACTATTTAACATATTTTAGGCAAATCGAATTTTATCGAAAGCTTCAGCCAAAAACTGGTTGTCAGCCAAAAACTGGTCAACTTAATGAAAATCATGATTAATTCAGCTTTACGGATGCGACCCAAAACGTTTTTAGATACTATATTATAATAATTATTTAAATATAAATATACATATATGTTGATAAGCTTTATCGTGACAGATTTTGCAGTTTTTAGACAACAGAAAAAAAAAGTCCAAGAAAAAATTATTGCTATGGGTCGTACGACCAAGCCAGACAACACCAGAGATAAGCGCAGAGTGCGTGGTCTTTACGGAATCACTTGAAACTATATATACATACATACAAATCGTTAGTGCGTTGCATAAATCTACAGATCGTGGCCATGGGATATGCCAATGAAATCGATAACAGAAGCAGACAGCAAACGGCTCGATAGGCGCGCGAAAATTTTGGTAGTTCGCGGCGAGGTGCTAATTAATATTAATTTATTAATAATAATGTGCCGCTTATCGCCGCTGCGGGCTACACTCAAGTTCAATGTCAATGAAATTAAGTCAATGTTTTTGATTTCAATAGGGGGTGTTAGCTTGATTAGGTGGATGGGGGGAGGGGGGGAGTGCTTCAAGTGAAGTGGGCGCCTGACACGCCCATTATGCGCAGTCAACAATCAAGGGAGACTAATTGTGATAGTTGTTGATTTTCTAGTTGTTGCACAGCAAAACAAAACAATTAAAGGCGACGGCGCATGTTCCTGCTTTATATAAGTCCAACAGAAACAACAACAACAATAACAAGAGGGCACATCGAACACGCCCACCATATATCATATATTGTTGTTGTTTTTTTTGTTGTTGGCATACAACTACTAAAATATACTAGAAGTAAGAAAAAATCTGTTGGCACTGCGCATAAATTAAAACCAAAATCAAATGCCATGAAAAACAAGTGAGGCAACAAATTAAAACAAAAATAAAAAAAATGAGAATATAAGGTTATTTTCGGTACGCCGAAGACTTAATACCCTTGCAGACTTTTTCCACTGATCGTTCTACGGCAGCTATATGATTTTGTCGTCCGATCTGGCCGGCTCCAACACATGTACTGCCTGCAACAGATAGATGGACCTATGCAAAGTATCAAGATGAGAGTCTAAGTCGCATAGAATCAGGCAGACGGACGAACGGAGAAAAGGACATGGTGCCGATCTAGAATATATATACCTAATGGCTTTAAAGATGCCTCCTTCTATGCGTTACATAATTCATAACAAAGTTATAGTACCCTCCACAAGAGTATAAAATGTATAAATATATAAAGTATATACTTATATATATATACATATATACTATAATGTAAAATAACAACTGTATGCTATGGCGACCTTGCAGCGGCCCATGTTAATGCTATGTGACTTGGATCTAACAGAGAATTAACAGGCTGTTGGATATGAGAAAACAAATAGAATAACATATCAACAAAGAAATTGCCACACAAAATGGGATATGTAATAAATTAGCAGGCAATGCAAAATATTAAATAAAATTTGTAAGGAACTTGAATAGCTTACAGCCGAGTGCTATAAAAATATGTGCTAAAGGGGGCTCGTCTATGGGTATATTTAGCTATATACACACACATATCTGCAATATGTTATTGTTGGCAATTAAAATACACTGCAATTAATGGGTATGCACTTCAAACAGAATAAATGACCTATTTATATGTTCTTCGGCTACGTCAATAATGGACTCCTCCTTTTTTTGATTTCCACCTACGTAGGTTCTGGCGCCTCGGGCAGATAAACAACGCCAAAATGCGCCATTTGGATATATGTCAAGAATTTTATTTACGATTTGCAAACATTTTGACCAAAGTCCAAAATGCAAGTGACAAAGTACAAATTTAAATTTTTTATATATGTCATTTATATAAGATAAAAATATAACTACGTTTCAAAAATAATAAATAAAAGATAAAATTATTTTTGAAAAACAAGAATTTTCCAAAACCGAATTCCGGAAAAAATTTTGAATTTGATTCAAAATTTAAACAGTTTAAAGTTCTATGTTCTACCATGTTTTTTTTAACAATTTAAAGGTAGCATTAATATTGTATAAATACCCATAACAAAGTTCCGTAAATTAAAATTAAAAATAGCTACCTTAATATATTTCAAATCCATTTCAAAGAAAAACGAAACACACCAAAAATATTCCCACGACCTTCTACAATATCAAATCATTTTAAAAATCAATTGCTAAATCCCTGCGAAATATGCCAATAAATTAAAAAAAAAGCAAATACTTCAAATTTGCGATTAGATAATTTTAATACATCAAATCCCCTCACGAGCAACTGGGCTGATTTAAAGAAATTTACGATTCGGAATACCCCAAGGCAATAGCCAGGGCCATAAAGACGCGACGCAATGCGAAGTTCTTCCTTATCTAGCTCATTCTACAGATAGACAGTCTATATACGAACGGCAAATCTAATGCGAATTCCGGAAGTCACAAAAAAAGTTTGGTTAGACAAGAGTTCTCAATCAAATAAACTTATGGTATATTCTAGTATAATATAATAATAATAATAATATTGAAGCTCGTAAATGCAGAGTTTGATGAAAATATTTTGGAAAAAAGGAACTACCTTTCGCCTGATGATTCATATGTCACAAGTAATAGATTAGTTCGCATATAAACATACGGAGGGATAGACGGAAGGACGGACGGAGGGACAGACGGCCATGTCTATATGAGATCAGCTATTGCTGCCGATCTTGAAACGCTTATGGGATCGGATAGGTCTCCTTCCCTGCGTTGCACATTTTATGGCAAAATTATACTACCCTCTACAAGGGTATGAAACGTTAAGACTGTTGTCTTTTATGCTGATAAAAATACTTATAAAATTATAATAGCTAATTAATATAAATACAAATAATAACCATAATAACAAAAATGGGAATTTCAATAATTTAAGAGCATTTCCTGTTTTTAAATAGAATTTCTGATATTTTGTAATTTTTTATATATTTGGCAGCTGCAGAGCATCAGTTAGTTTGCTAAGCTTAGCCTAGTGTCACTTGCACTTCGAACTACAACTTGTGTGTGGACTTCAATGCGCTTTAAAATTAGCACGGTCTGGCTAAAAACAAACTGTGCACCTCCGTCTCCTCCCCCTCCCTATTCATTTGATTTTAGCCTGTTTCTCTCACCTATGCCCAGCGGTGTGCCGATTTTGCCAGATACGTTGAGGAACTTGAAGCCCATGCTTAGGATGCTTTTGCCATCGAGATGTTTAGTGAGTGTGGCGCCACCTGCCGTCGGCAGCAGGTGCTGTTCATTATGCGATAAGCTGGGCGCGCTGGTGGCGATGGGCGTGGCTGTGCAACATTTGCTTAGAGTTAGCATCAATGTGAATAGTACGAGATTCGCATTGATGCAGATGCAACTCAACAGCTGTTGGGCGCGACGCTGGCAGTTGTTGTTCTTGTTGTTGTTGCAGCCACTTGTTGTTGTTGTAGTTGATGCAGTTGTTGCTGTTGTTGCTGCTGCTGCTGCTGTTGTTGTGCTATCACTTAGAGTGCTCGTAGAGCGTAACTCTATGGCCATGGTATGAACTTTGCCTAGTTTATGCACTTGTGGTTTCTCGCTCAGTTTTGCAATTGCTCTATATTTCAGTCACTCAGTTTCTCAATACTCAATTTCTTAATTGGTTTGCTTTAGTTTGTGTAATTGTTTGCACTTTGATTGAATTTCTAGGGGTGCCCAAAAATATGCTAAAGAGCCTATGGGAACAGAAAGTCAGGCGTTTATAAACGCCAGCAGGAAGCGACGACGAATCTGCTGGCATTATCTAACCAGTCAGACGACGTCGGCGCTGATTGGCAATGGTCAATAGAAAAAAAAGGAAAATCGCGCAACATTGAAAATTGTTGCCAAAATAAATATGCAGACACACACACACACGCTCACACAAACGCGCGCGACTTAAGACGCGCAGCTATCGCGTCCAATGCCGAAATGCCGAAAAAGATCATTGAAACTGGTTAAGAAAAAAATCATACGATACGCACGCAAAGGCAAAACAAACGATTAAAACAAAACGTAAATTGAAACAACAGAAGAGAAGGTGAAAACAAAAATACCAAAATTTCTGTTGACGTAGCAAATTTATACAAATGAAGAGAAGAGGGCGGAGCAGGGGGCGTCTGGCTAAGGAACTAAGCGAATTTCTATAATTTATCGCATTTTAATTAATTAAAGTTTTTTTTTTATTTATTATATCTGGCACGCGTTTTAACCGGTGATAAGAACGCAAACAGTTAAGAAAAAAACGCGTCGTCTCGCTTATCAAAGTTTTGTAAGAAATCAACTTTCAAGGCGCGCGCGTTGTTGATTTTTTTTGGCACGTGCTGTAGTTGTTTTTATTCTCGTTGCTGTTGTTCTTGTAGTTGTTGTAGCTGTTGTTGTTGTTGCTATATTTACACTTAGTTATGCGAGCTCTATTTGCGTCTGTTGTCTATTGGCTTAAGTGGTCGCAAAAAACGCAGCCGCCTCATACAACGCGCGGTTTTCAACTGAATGCGTCTTGAGAATTCGCCAGCACATTTAAGCGAATTGCCATCCAATAAAAATGGACCCACCCCCCTCCAGCTGCCCGGCCCACAATAGCCCACCTGTTTGAGAGCGCGCTGCGCATGCTGTCTGTTAGTTGCTCAATTTGTATACTTTTGCGTTAGGGCATTATAATTATGTCATGTAAAGTGTAACGTTTAGAAGAAGACACCTTTCTTATTTATAAAGTACATATTCATATATACTCAGTTCCGTATACATGTTGCAATCGGCCGGATCGGTTACCGGTTACTGGTATATGTACTAACGGACCAATCGGTCAACAAACTCAATAGCATATAGCTCGATTGGAAGAATATATCTAGCTTTACCGTACAAAATAATTGCGAACTTCACTTTTCTCCCCATATATATACAGAATATCGCAAGCCAAGAGTATTTACTCTTCGTCTTGTGTTAGAAAGCCGCTCTTTCTTGTTGATTTTTTTTTTTGCGCTGCCTTCAAAACGGTTTATCACAGCGCCAAGAATCGAACCTGAACTCAACGAGAGGTATTTGCTTCGTTTATGTATGTGTAAGAGCACGCGATAGCTGCCGCTAATTTCTGTAGCTGCCGTCCTCTCTTCGGTGATGCTTTCGTTGCTCTTCACAGATCATTCCCATCTGCAGTTCTTTCAAGCGTGGTGAGCTTTGCTGAGCATGGTGAGTTCGAGCCTGCACGAGCGATTCGGTGGAATTAGTTATCTGTGAGGCTGCAAAGGGAGTGGATCAGCGCTGATAAGCTAATGAGCCGCAAGAAGAGCGTGGGAAAAATTAAGAGGTTGGGCATTTTTGCTATCAACACTTTGTTTTTATAAATAAAGAAATCCATGCTAATTTCATCAGGCCTGTTTTAAAAATATTTAGCTATTTTTGCTATGTGGAAAAAAGAGAATTTATTTATAGTTGCTGTTGGTCACACTTGTCGTGCTTATCAAATTGTGAATGAAGTGCTGATTAGTTAATTGTGAATGGACAAGAAAGAGAGCGAAAGATACCATACAAAACTATTGCCTAATAGTTGATGATGATGATGGGATGGAATTCTTTAAAATATACAAATATAATATATTCCTAGAGCCTGAAATGGGCTAAATTAAAATGTAAGAATTTTGTAAACAATAAGAACAATAATTAATCATTATTAAGTAACATAATATGGAATTAAATTATCATAACTATAGTAAATAACCGAGTTTTTTTATGCTTGTAATTATTGTGATTCGTATTGCACATTATAATGCAACCTACATATTAGTTGGATGTTCTCGAGAAATACTTTCTTAGTGAATAAATGCGGCATGTTAATAATTCTTTCAGTTCATTAAAAAACGTGGACAGATTTTAAATTGCAGGAATAGGCTAGAAAGTTCTTTAGCTGATGACAATCATTGATATATATTATTAATAGCATGTGGGTTACCCGAGGAACTTATCACATATCGTATCTATAAGTAATCGAACAATCAGCCTATAATTTATACTGCGCACAATCCCTTCAAAGTTTCTGAAGTACCTTAAAGTCAATAACCTACTCGATCGCGTGATCTTTAATACGAAATACTAACCTTGGCCACAACAAAGCACTACAAAAATTAATTTCAGAAAATCAAAAAAATACATTGTTAATGAGGAACTAGAGTTTATATATATATAGAAATATCTATCCACTTTTTTTTTATCGAATTTGCAAAATAATTTTTAATTAAATGCGAAACGGAAAGACGTCAGCTATGATAAGTGAAGAGTTAAGATATTAGCAGCTTTAACCGTGAATTCCCGAACAGATACTTGGCGGTGCGATGCCCAGCAATAACCGACGCGAACTGAATTGATTTTCGGAGATATTAGCATTTGTTGGCTCAAATTGAGCCAATTGAACTGAAAAACTGAAATGTGACGTCGGCCGATAAGAGTGATAAGTACCTCCGCTGGCTAGGTGCGAGAAATCGCAACTAGAGGCAGGTCAAATGGACTGCCCCCAACGATTAATACAGATGATATAGCCAAATTCTCGCCTCTCCGGGCCTCATCAACATCTGGATTTGTCATCCACTTGAACTGCATAATTTATGATTTGCGTGTGTAAATCATTTTTCAAGCACCCGCCATGAAACTGCGTGTTTGCCGTTGACAGACCCCCTCCACCGCCCTCCTAACCACCTCGCGCCTTTCCTTACCCATCCCCTTTATCACTTAGTCGCAGCCGTCACTGTTTAGTTTTCAATTTGCTGGTGTTTCTAATTGCCGGCGTTAAAAATCGCTGCCAAATCGCGTTCAACAATATTAATGAGCCTCTGCAAACACCCACTAGCCCCCACCCCTTCTTTTGCACAACACTTAATTGCAGTTTATCGCTGTGGACGTGTGTTTAAGTTGTCCACCCCCACCCCCAACCCACTGTTACCGTTAGTCGAGTGGCCCAGTCTTTGTTGAGGTTTATCTGCCATATAACATCTATCTGCTAACAGATTGATAACCATCAATACATATAGAAACAGAGATAGACATAGAAAAAGATTTGACAATAAAATAAGAGTTTGATTTGTTGTAGTGGTTCAAACCCCCAGCTCTTGGTTCTAACCTTGATCTCTGACATTTTATCAGCTTAAATTGTTAGTTAACAGTTCATAAATATTGAAATATTTGTAATTTTTCTCACGTAAGCCTTTAAGTAAAAGTGGAAATCGAAATCTCGAACTGGCTTGTTTATTTATTTAGTTATTACTTTTGTAAACCCACGAAGCAAATACATAAACTATAGGTCTGTCTGGGAGCGGAAGTCGATTCTTTAGGGGATTTACTTATAACGATACCGTTAGTTGAGTGCCTAGATAGGGAACTAAATGCTTAATAGGAACTCAAACATCTATTAGACACCTGCTTGAGAATAGCAGGTTAGTCATCAGGGGAAGACACTTAAGTGTTCTTTACTAATAACATTTATAAAAGTCAAACAAAAGAATTTTGTGTTTGGTTTTAAACAAAGAAGTATTTTATGGTTAAAAAATGTATTTATAATAATATTGTATTATTATTATTTTTATACCCTTGCAGAGAGTATTATAGTTTTGTCGTGAAATGTGTAACGCACATGACATCTCCGACCCCATAAAGTATATATATTCTTGATCAGCATCAACAGCCGAGTCGATAGAGCCATGTCCGTCCGTTAGTCTGTCTGTTTCTATGCGAACTAGTCTCTCAGTTTTAAAGCTATCTTAATGAAATTTTGCAGAAGTCCGTCTTTCTGTTGCACGCAGCACATATGTGAAAACCAGCTGGATCGGACCACTATATCATATAGCTGCCATAGGAACGATCGGTCGAAAATTAAGTTGTTGTATGAAAAAACAATTTGTTTATCAAGATATCTTGCCCAAACTCGGCATTAACTATTTTCCCTGTGCTTCTTAGATACGGGCAAAGCACTATAAGCATTATAAAAAAGTTGGGTCTGCAAGGGTATTAGATCTTCGGCGTGCCGAAGATATCCTTTCTTTCTCGTTATTATTATTTTTATTGTTATTATTATTTTTATTATTATTATTATTATTATTATTATTATTATTATTATTATTATTATTATTATTATTATTTTTATTATTATTATTATTATTATTATTATTTTTATTATTATTATTATTATTATTATTATTATTATTATTATTATTATTATTATTAATATTATTATTATTATTATTATTATTATTATTATTATTATTCTTATTATTATTACTATTATTATTATTATTTTTATTTGTATTATTATTTTATTTTCATATAATATTTATTTTTTTTGCTTTCGACCAATACTTATTTTTATTTTTAACTTTTAACAGGGAGTTCTAAGAAATTTTAAAAATTGTATGCATTTTGGGCAAGCTTTGGGCCGGCTAAGCTTTACATGTATTTATTTATTTAGCACAAATAAGCATTTGATAACACTATAAGCATAGTGTTATCAGTTGGCTGGGAGTTATTCAAACAATTCAATTTGCTTAGATATTTCTTTAACTATTTTTCATGGGTTTCTTTCTGTATCTTTGCCGTATTTTATTCACTATGTTTTTATTTTAAATATTTCATTGAGCACCTTTAACTTCCTCTTCTTCTTGAATAACAGCAACAACAACAGCAATACGTTGTGGCCCCGTTATATATTCGGTAAATGCAATTTAAATTACATTAGGCACATTGACAAAAACCGTTAGACCCACAAGAATGTGCATGGGCACAAAGCGGAATGTAAACAGCGAATGAATGAATGAAACGCCGGCCAAGAAGTAACGGTAAATTTTCACATGTGCCAAATGACAATAGAAGAAGGCACAAACAGCGACGTCGGCGTTGCCGTCAGCAGCGGCCCAGCTCTAACAGCTTTGGATGCTGCCCCTTAACAGCTCTGTTAATGGCCCTAACAGCGCATGTTGCGCACGTCGACGCCGGCATTAACTGCGCAGCCAGCGTCAGCGATATCGCTCATAAACGTCATTCAATGAGCTCTATCTAAAACTACAGCAATAAGGCTGACTGCCTGACTCTGCAAGTGTGTGCGTGTTTACTGAAGCGTTGCTAAATATGAAAACATAAAAATTAATGTTATATTTATAGTGTGGCTGCCAAAAGCGGCAGCAGGAGGCGTTGCCGCGCTTCATGCTGCAGGGCAAGAGCAGCGGGTACTGAATGGTTCAAGGGGTGGGGGGGAGGGGGATATTGTGGCAGGGTCTGGGGTAGACTTTAGGGTTGTGCAGGGCTTCCTACTGCAAGACACGGCTGCTTCAAGTGCCGCTATTTGCTTTGCCCGGCAGCAAATCCTGCTGCCGCTGCCACTGCCGCTGTTGCCGCTGCTGTTGTTTGTTATTGCTGTTGTGTTGTGTTTTGGGGCGGGGGGTGTGGCTAGCCAAAGGGGTTTTTCTCGGGTCTTGCCTGCATTTCAATAAGCAG